CTTCTCATCTATCACATGTAGTTACATTGTAGGTATGGTATGAGAAAAACCTGAGACTTTTCAAATCATATGAGGGCTTTGGGAGCATTGAAAACACTTCACATATTTATTTTTAAAAATGCTTCCCCCCACTTTTCCTCTGCCCAAGGGAGCTGTTCAAAGTGACTTACAGATATAAATGCAAACATAAAAGCAACCCTAATCCTAATCAAATAACCACAAATGACCAAACCAAATACAGCAGCAAAAACTAAACACAAAGAGCAACACACTCAATCACTTTCTAAAGCAACAAAAGAACAAACAGCTTTCTTTGTTTTCTAAGGAGTATTTTCACCTGCCAGCACAACACAAATAGAAAGGAAGATAACCCCAAATGGGGCTGGCATCACAGAGAAAGGCCTCCTGCCATCGCCACCAACCTTGCATCATGAGGCAATGGCACACACAAGAGGGGCACAAAGGTTGATTTAAAAGATAAAGAAAGAAAGAATAGGCAGATTCACATAAGAGGGAATGAATGGTATTTCAAGTGGCTCACTCAAGGACTTTATAAGTAACAACCAGCACCTTGAATGGCTCTTGGAAACAGACTGAATGCCAGTGAAGCTGATACAATGGGGGGCAGGGGCAGAAATGAGTCATGTAATCCCAAGGCTTAACCCTGGCCAAGAGCTGAGAGCCGGCATTCTGTATCAATTAGTCTGTTTCCAGGGAGTGGTTTCCTAGGAGACCCTCCACACAGAGAGTGTTCCAGTCCTCTTAGGGAGGAAGGGTGGGGTGTATGTAATAATATGTAACCCATAAATCAGCTCACGTAATTACTGTAATAGCTAATGGACCATTTATTTAATATAGATTATGAGTAATCTTTAAGGAAGAATAGGACAGTATGCTGATAGGCCTATATGGTGATAGGCCAGTATGAGTATTCCCATATATGATTATTCCCATATTTCATCTACGGGGTTGTGGCTGGCAGATAATGGATTGCCTGAGGGCCATCTCAGTTTATAGCTATTAAATTTCAGCTTGGGACTTCCTGGCTTACAGCTTTACATACCACGCAGTGCTAGCTCTCATTAATATCTAAAGGGTAGTATATAAAGTTTAGCCATCACTTCCTAAAGTTGTACCTAGAGTGTCCTTCAGGTAGATAAGCTATTTTGTTGATTGAGGCCATCAGGGCTTGACTTTTAGATCCCTTCGCCATCTGGCCGCGCATTGAAAATATCACAGCTTTCCAAGACAGTAGTGGATGGGAAACTGAAGGAAACATCTGCAATTTTCTTTAAAGTTAACTAGCTAGGAACTGGTACTCATCCCCCCCCCAACCCCCCCAACCCTTTTTAAATAAAATAAAATAATTCACAGCACCCGACAGGTTGACAACTTATTGAAAGCGATTCTTCATCTGGAAACCACTTATTACTTACTGTGTACCATCTTTAATACATCGATACTGACATTTAACACTCAATAAATCCGCAGTCCCTCTGTGGTGCTCTGCCTGACAGTTAAACTGAGCCCTTTCTTTTCCTTTTAATACCTGTCAAGGTTTTTCAAGGAACAGGAATATAATTCTGTATCTGGGGCTTCATTATCATACAAGTCACTTCTATGCACATCTTCCCATTGGCAAAATGAACTTGGGGTGAAAACGGAATTTCCTTCATAAAGCTTTGCTGGGAGAGAGAAGCAGAGGGAAGGGGGCTTGTTAAAAGTCAATATATGAAGTGTAAAGGGAAGGGGAAAACCTACATTCTACTTTCTGGTTTCTTTCTCGCCTCACTCCACATTTAGTACTGTAGATTGGAAGGTAATTTCTCTCTCTAAAGCTGTAATTTAACACCAGTGCTTTTTTCGGGGGGACACAGGGGTACGCATACCCCTAAACATTTTGTGAATCTAATTTTGGCTTCATTGAGGGGCAGTATTTCAATATGAGTAGGAAATGAGAGTACCCCTAAACATTTTTTTAAAGAAAAAAAACACTGCTTAACACCCTTACCAGGGAGCAAGCCCAGCTGGACTTCCTTATGAGTAAACATGCATAGGACTGAGCAGTAGCTCTTCTGTCTGGTTCCAAGAAGCTTTTCAGACAACAAACAAGAACTCCAAAGGTTTTTTCCAAGGCTGAGCCAAATATTTGTCTTTTTTATTTTAGCACTGAAAGCTGCTATTTCAATAAAGTAGAACATTTCATCAGAAAAGCAGGCAACCCAACGTGGGGTGGGGCATGTGTTTTTGAAGGAGATGAACTTCCTAGGATTGGCACAATAATGTCATGAGTGTAGCCAGGCTTTATGCTTTTTTGGGGGGGTAGGCTTTATGTTAGTGGGGACAGTACCTCAGTTAAGTATTTTTATTGATTTACTTGATTTAGGGGACAGCTGCCCCCCTGCACCCTTGGCTATGCCCATGTTCAAGCCCCCCCCCTTTTCACCCTGTGCTAAAGAAGACATAAAATCCCCACACCTCCACTGAAAGAGGGGCAGGTTAGTGCAATCCCCAAACAGGCCTTTGTTGCCTTCTATATAAGCCTTCCTCCTGATCAGCCTTCCCCATTCATGTTGCTGGACTACAACTCCCATCATAACTAATAGTCATGTGGACTGGGGATGACAGGAACTGTAGTCCAATGACAACTGGAGACCAAAGCTGGGAAAGGTGAAATTCTAGCCCTTTTGATCATAAGTACCCTGAACCTTGTGCTCTGGCTCTATCAACAGTTAGGTAGGCTAAGGGGAGGGCTCAGACAAGGTGTGGGTGGGTGTTGTTGTTTGCATCTGTCTGCCTGGAGAGACAATGGAGTGTGCCTCCAGGGGTGAAGTCAAATCACTGGAGAATCACAGCGCCTGCTGTGGCTGCAGAGACCAGTAAGTCTTGGATTGCTTCTGCTGCATTAGCAGCACCAATATGACCTATCCAAGATATGCTTGTATTTGTGTGTTTGTATGTGTTTGTGTACTGTATATACACACACAGTGTCATTAAGTTGTCAGTCAGTCATTAAGTTGAGCAAGGACTGGCCATGCCTTAGGCAGCAAATTTTGAGTGTAATGAGTGGGCAGCAAATTGTTAGATGTTTTGTGAATTATTACTATATGCCAGGGAGGGTGAGAGGTGCTTGCAGGATTTTCTGCATCGTGTACCAAAATAACTTGGCAGGCCTTGGATGCTAGTGGGGCCCTAAGTGGCACCTTTTGTTGTTCCATCTCCAGCAACAAAATATTTTGCACCAGCCCTTCCCTGAACTAGGTGCTTTTGGACAGGGTACTACATAAGGTGTGGCTAACCCTCTTAGGGCTGGGGGCCACTGTGACTCATGGTCAACCCAAAGGATAACTCATGTCAAAGTGGGTGTGACTATTTCTGAATATTCTTAAAATGACAAAGGGGGTGTCGGGGGTCCCAAAAACCTTTAGAATCATAGCAGGGGACCTGCAGAAGTGGTCGGCATATGTGTGCGCGTGCTTTGAGAGCAGCAAAAACCTTTGGTTTAACATTATCATAATACAGGACCTATGGGAGCCACAGTGATACCTCAGGTTACAGACGCTACAGGATACACTCCACTAACCCAGAAATAGTACCTCGGGTTAAGAACATTGCTTCAGAATGAGGACAGAAATCGCATGGCAGCGGCAGCGGGAGGCCCCATTAGCTAAAGTGGTACCTCAGGTTAAGAACAGTTTCAGGTTAAGAACAGACCTCCAGAATGAATTAAGTTCTTAACCTGAGGTACCACTGTGCCAGAAAAATAAAACAATACAATGGACCATTTTTGGAGGGATCTGCGGAGCCATAAAAAATCCTTTTGGTATAATAGCATCAAGGTGTGGGATCCACAGGAGCAGTAAATATAAAACTTTAAAAAAAAAAAAATGAAAGTTTTGCAGAGTCAGAGACCACAAAAAACGCAATGGGGTTGGCTGGTTAGGGTGCATAGGTAATGGGTTCATCACCCTTGGACTACACAGTTCTCAGAAAAACCAATGTTGGAGGTTTCCCTGAGTCAAAGCCTTATAAATCAGGCCACAGACTGCACAGCTTTCTCAAGCTTGCTTACTTAGGGCTTTCTGGGGAGTGCACAGGTTACCGTATGTTTGTGGACAAGGCATCAAAATAAATATACAGAAGCTTTCTTTTAAAGGCTTGCAGCAGAATGCAGAAAGCTGGTTGAGCGATGCAGCAGTAAGCCAGGGGAACATGGACAGTGACCCTGACAAAGCAGGATGGTACATCCTAAGAGCCTAGAAAATGCTCATCTTGTGTCAAAACAGAGATAGTTTTTAACACTGGTAGAAATTAATAAATCTTTCTTGTCTGCTACCATTGCAGTATTCCGGATGGCACATCCATACTGCTTCCAGCCAGAGAGGGTAATCAGCTGTACCTTTTTGACAGTTTTGCCATCTACATTATAGACTAAAGCTGTCTTGGCAGTGTATTGATCTCTGGCTTGCGGCTGGAAAATGACCACTCAAGAGCCTTGTGGTTTCGTTAAACACTATGATTTTATAACTCTGAAAAGAGGACCAAATATACCAGTTTTACACAATTCAGAGGCAGCTCATTTGTTTGTCTACATGACCCTTTCAACATTGGACACAGAAGCACTAGGATGTTTAAAAACTGAGCCCATTAGCATTGTTGGTATTAACTGTGAAGGGAATTTTATTTTAAGGGCTTAAGGAATATTGCACTGACCAGTTTTTGATTGCAATATTTACTGGAGTCTCCAGAATGAATACAATCCATTTTCCCTTTTTCCAGATTTTTTAGAGAGGGCTCACAATATATAAATCTCTCCTTCACCACTGCCTCTATAATGAGATTCCAGTTTATTTCATTCACTTATTCAGAATTTGCAGAGATTAGCATTCTTCAGATTTTGATGCTTTTTTATATACTTATTTTGCTCCTCAGGATCACATATTCCCTCTGTATATTCCATGTAAGATTTTTCTTCAGGAGCTTTTGACATAGGAGTGTTTGGTGAGGGACTGAGTAAACGTGGCAGTCCTGGGATAACAGGAAAAGACCTCTTACAGATTGGTAACTGGTTAAAAAAACAGGAAGCAGTCAGTAGGAACAAACTGACAGTTCTCACAATGGAGGGATGTAAGATGTGTATTGGACTAGTGCTAGGGCCAGAAAACAGCCTAGAGTTAGGGATGAAGAATGAGGTGACCCAGTTTGCTGACACCAAATTATTCAGGGTGGTAAAAACAAAAGGAATTGTGAGGAGTTGCAAAAGGTTCTCTCTAGACTGGATGAATTGAATGAATGAACTTTTAAAAATGGCAAATGTAAGTTTAAAGAGACATACGACAGGGCAAAAAATCCTAATGCCACATATACACTGAGAGTGTCTGAGTTGACAGTGAATGATGAGGAGAGCGATATTGGTGTCATGGTGGATAGCTTCACAAAAATATCAACCCAGTGAACAGCAGCTATGAAAAGGGATATTCAGCATCATTAGGAGAGGGCTACAAAATAAACTACATCGTATAATGCCTTTGTACAAAGATAATGGTGTCACAACACTTGAAATGCTGTCTGGTTGCCACATCTCAAAAATGATATTGTATAACTAGAAAAGTGAGCTTGGAGCTAAAGTAGAGCAACCTCTCTAGGGCAAAAGGTTAAAAAGTTTGGTGGTTTCTGTTTAGAAAAAGTAATGAGATATATCGTAGGTGTGGCGAAAGGAGATGGAAAGCGTGGAGAATGTGGATATGGATATACTTTCCCCCCTAGAATTATAGGTCACCATTCGCTTATTCTTTACCCATATAATACATATTCACAAAGCCAGGAGCACCTTGCCTGGTATGGCAGAACTGCAGAAATAGCATACCAGGAGGGGTGAGGTCTGGCAAGGCAGGCTGGGGTTCCACAGGCACATCTGTGCAGCCCTGACTCTCTTGCCACCTCATTCCTCCCCAGTTAACCTATGAAATTCAAGATGTAGCAATGTCCACCAACTTGGATGGATTTTAAAATGGGATAGACTAAATCCTGGATAATAACCCTATCCATAGCTGCTAGTTCTGATGGCTTTTGCTACCTGTAGATTGCTAGTTTCTGGGAAATATGACAGCAGGAGAAAGCTACTGCTTTCATGTCATGCCTCTGGACATCCCATAGGCATCTGGTTGGACAGTGTAGGAAACAGGAGATGCTATACAAAAAGAAGATATTTGGTCTGATGCAACAGGGCTGTTGATGTTCTTATGAGTTTGCACTGTACATACAAATAGGCTTTGAAATAGCAGAGAGCGGAGGAGTGATTAGCTGACACGTTCAGGGTCATTAGCATTGCATAGTTTAACACCAGCAAGAATGTGATGTCGAAAAATGCAAGTGACATCATTCATTTTAATAGAAGGAAATTACTCTAAAATACAAAGTATGAAAGTGAAATAAAAGAAATTATGATGTGCTATTAACAGTGGTGAAATAGCAAAAAATACATTAAAAAAATTGAAAACCAGCACCAGTCCCTTTCCTCTCCAGAACATTTTATTGAACAAATCATTTAAGAAGTTCTTCTAAGAACCCCCCACCCCCTGTAATAACGTTGTTAATAAATGTTCTTATATGAGAAACCACAGTTACAGTGGTTCTTCCCTGCATCAGCCGTGAGTTATATTAGATGTCCCATGATATTCCTTCCAGGTCTATAATTGTATGGGTCTATTGCCTTCAAAGCTATTTTGCTTCTTCTTTGCTACAGTCTTGTGCTAAATTGTGCACACTTAACAATCCACTGGATATATTTAGTAGCTGCAGGCCTGTGCCCAGTTCAATAGAGCTAAGTCTTCTCAACTCCCATTTATTTCAAAAGCATCAATATAAAAACCTTGGATTGTATGTATAGTATGGAGCCTTAACCATGATCCAGGGGAAGAGATAGGATTAAACCTTCATGTTCTTCTTTATAGCACACACCTCCCCTCATGGGAAACTGTGCTAATTTTCTCATTACCTTTTCAAACAGCTTCTAAAGAACACAAAAGGACACCCCATCCCCCCAAACCCCGTTTATAAGGGGTTTCAGAGACTGCTCCTTTTTGTACACCAAAGATGTAAAGCAAGGCAACTAATTAAGTCAACACTGCTAGTTATGACTAATTATGTCCTATTGTATATGATAATAGGTTTCCCGTTGCATTTAACAATATTAGCAAAGGCCCATTAGAAATCTCATGGTGGCAGGTTTTATATTTTAAAAACTTTCTGAGCATAATTTAGTTCATTAACATGTAATCAAAATCACTTAAAGATTAATCTACAGCTAGACCCTGCAGTGAAAAGAGCAGAGCCTCTCTGTGGATGAGGCATCAAAATTAATATACAGAAACGTACTTTTAATGGCTTGCAACAGAATGAATTGGTCACTTCTTAGGTAGCCAGAAAAGCATATAATAAGGGCTGGCCTTTTTTTTTTTTTACAGGACTGTATTTCTCCAATGACATGTATTGGAATTTAGAATGTCACATGCTTGCTTTGGTGCCAAAGTTTTCAAAATGGAATACAACTGGGATTTAAGGTTTGCAGTTATTAAGCTCTTTGAAAACCATGTACAAGGTTTAAAAAATTTCAGTAAAACAAGTGCACTAAATGGGGAGGCAGATTTCTTCTACCTTGCAGCAGTATCTGTGCTATGCACCTGTATTACATCTCAAATTGCTTATTCTGTAGATTTTTCTGAAGTATTCTTCCTCGGTGAAAGGCATCGTCCATATTAATTAGCTGAGTGTGCTTTTCATGATAGCAACTAAATACTGAAAAAGTAAGTACAAAAGAAACCTGGGGAGCTGGATAATAGGGCTTTTGCATTTACAGGAAAAATGTGAATTGTACATCTTCAGATGTATGATGGAAGTTGAAGTACTCAGTGGATTCCCACTAAGCAGAATTGCTGTTTATATCAGAAGGAAAGTGAAGCTGGTGCTTATGGATTTATGGGAATTCTTATTTTAAAATATGCTCCTCTAGAATATAAATATGGAAGGAGCACAGGTGTTCAACCCCATGACACACTGTGGAGCAGCTCCTATGACTTACGTTATATTTGAGAGTTGCAGTAAAAATGTGTCACTGACTATTTTACTCAGGTTTGTAAAAAACAACTCACCTGATCACCTATGGAGAGTAAAAATTGCTTTGGGGTAACCAGGCAACACAAACCTTATGAAGTGAAAGTGGTTTGGGGGATTTTCTCCCAGGCATTGACATGCTACAAATATTGTTATATTTGGCTAGTTGTTGGGTGGGATTGAATGACAACTTCCATGGGCTTCTTTCAAAGGTTTGTGTAGCAATTTATTTGAGTTTATGACCCACAAAGGAAATACGGAGGTGTTAACGAGAGGCATTTCAGTCTATCACTGCTATTCAAGGTGGAGTGCAGATAAAATTATTAGCAGGGTACTGTCAGTCAATCTTAGCAATTGTGATGAGACTAATGGAAAGATGCAATTTACACATGGAATGTGCTAATTAGAACTCTGTAGGTCATAACCAGTTCATAATCATCATTAATCATTAATCCTAAATAGTGTCCAGAAAAGTCCAATACTACATACATAGGCGTGTGCACTGAGGGAATGATTTATTTATTTATTTTGATGAAGGAACATGGGAGGGAGGCTATGTCAAGACAAACAAATAAGGACAAGGAAATGGTAAAGAGGCAAAAAGTTACAGAAGAACAACAAGAAGACTGGTCAACCCTAACCATGAATAGAAATCTGGAGCAACTGTACTCAGTGTGGCTTTTCCATTTTCCACTTGTATCTTATGGGTGTAAATATTAGGAAGAAAAAACTACTATAAAGGTCCAAAGACACTTTCCTAGAACAACCTATTTTTCTAGAAAAATATTTAAATATACTTTCAGCACCAAGTCAAGATATTTACATTTCACTATTTACATTTATCTCCATGACAGAACGTGTGTGTGTGTGTGTGTGTGTGTGTGTTACATGAAACTTCACCAGTTCAGTCCCTTGAATCTCTGGACAGGGCTGAGAAAGACCTCTGTCCGAATCCTTGGAGAGCTGCAGCCAACTAGTGTAGACAATACAGAGCTAGATGGACCAGTGGCCCAGGCTCCCATCAATTGCGAGAGAGCTGAATTCAAACTGCATTCAGAATGTTTATTTCTTGGTTTTTAATTATTATTTTTCCTGCTTGAGGCTTTAGGGGAAAACTTACAGTACTGTAAATAACTGAAACACTGCAAATTTTTAAACGATCCATGTGTGATGCAGAAATTAGTGATCACCAGTCATCAGAAGCAGATGTCTAAGCACTTCTACAGTTTTATAGCCCGTAGCAAGAAAAATAAAACCACCACTCAGCACAACTGATCATTGCAGAAGACATGAAGCTGACAGCATAACTAAGATAGATTCCTAGGCAAAGTACATCCCACAGGATTTATATGTCACTTGGGCACGCTCCTGCGCAAATGGAAGCCGAGAGTGAGTGACTGGTTTTTATGTTCTTCTGTGTCTGCTACTTTATCTGAGGTGGCTTTAGTAGCCCACCTTTTCAAAACATACAGACATGAGAAGCCTCCAGTATTTTCAAAGGAGAACTTTTGCCCTCTGTATCTGAAGCCAAGACTTGCTGAAAGATCTTCATGAACACATTTTGCTGCTTGGAAAATAATCTAGCAAAGCCATCTCTGAATGAACAGTGAGCACCTTTCATAAGGAGGTACATGACTTAAGTTTTTTGTAATGGGGGGTGGGACCTGCAGTGCAGAGGGAGAGGAAACAGCTTTCTACTCAAATGCTGATATGCATGAATAGCTGCCGTCCTGAACCGCTGTTACATGTGGGAAAAGCAGCTACCAGTTTTGCTCTTAAAAGAATGGGGAAAGGCTTCTCCAACGGAATGTTAATAACACTGACTTACTTCTAAGTTCATCCCCAAAGTGCCTCCACACATATACCAGCAGTTCTATCGAATCATAGCAGAGAATCGCAGAGATCTTCTGGCCTTTTCCCTCCACCCCACCATCTCCCCTATGCATTACCCTGCAAACTGCCTCCACCTAAAAAAACACATTCCTTTTTTTAATGGATGTACTTTAATAGGTTGGAAATGTTCCAGTGTGAAAGAATAATATAAGTGTTGTTATGCTGCCTTTACTTTTGAAGTTCCAGGAGCACAGGGCTTACCTGGGTTTGGTATCCTTTGAAAGGTGGTCACTGGAGGCTTGTCTAAAGTGAGACAAACCATGAGATGAGATTTGGATGTAACACTGAAGCGAAACAATGGCTTAGCTACAGGTAGCTTGGCAGCAGTAGGACCAGGACAGGAGTTCAGCAGGCACATCCTCCCCCCTGTAAATACCTGCACTCCCATGCTGTCACACTTAGCCATGGTTTGGCTTGACATTATGTGCAAAACAGGCATTCATCTAATAAGCAGTAGCACCAGTGTGTCATAATAAAGCTAAACAATACAGCATAAACAATGACATTACCGAGCCACAGCAGCAGCAGCTTTTGGATGTGTTTGAGTATAAACTGAGAAGAAGGAGGAGGTGCAGTTTTAAAGGGTTTGTTGTGGTTCCTTTTTCATATCTCTTATGAGTCAGAAATAATCCACACACTGCTTCTGAGGAACAATGGCATGTGGCAAGTGCGACTCCTTCGTGGTATTGCACCCCTGAGAAAGAGGTACTACAGTGCAAGTAAGGCAATTTGCTAAAATGGTGCAGTTTGGATTTTGTTTTATAATTGGAATATTGAAAACGTCCTAGTTTGAAACTGCACCCTGAGGAAGAGAAATAAAAAGTCCAAAAATAGGCTAAGCTGAGATTTGATTGAGTTAGCAATTTTAAAAGGAATCCAGCCCTCTATTGTCTTGGTGACAGCTATCAATGGTCTTCAAAGGGGCGTTGAGTGATTTTAGTCCTTTTAACGTCCCTCATGTTTGTGCGATATCTTGAAAGGGCCTTGATGAACATGAAGTAGCGCTAAGGAGAGATTAATATGAATTTTCTCCGCTTGTCTGTAATGCATATTTGACAAGCTGGATAATAGGCTGGAAAAGGGGCTATTTTTCAAGTTATATAATCAGCCATTATGGAATGGGGTTGCTTGAATGGGTGTGAGCAGGAAGACATGTCCAACAGGGTATTCTGGAAATCATGCGACAGTGATTTCACACATCTACCATTCAGGTTGCAATACCATGCACAGTTACCTGGGAGTAAGTTCCAATGAACTCAATAGGAGCGATTCCTGAGTACACATGAGCACAATTGCACTGTTGAATTTGATACAATTTTTGTTCCAAAACACATGGTGTAATATTTCCACCCTAAATATTCACATCAGGGGCCTGAATTGCCCAGGAGTTGCACCATGATTGCAGCACCAGATACAAAAGAGCATAAAGAAATTTGGGACTGCCAAAAGTATTTCCATCATTGATGGAAGCTCATCAATGAATATCACCTGGTTTTATTTTTGCATTTTTTTAAAAAATCATAACTACGTACATCTATTTCCAGCTTTAAGTTTCTACCTACCTTCTGGTAGCTAAAAATCACTAATTCATTTTCTCCTTACAACTATGCAAGGTAAGTCGAGCGATAGTGACTGGACCAGGTTCACCAAGTGAGTTTCACGGCTAACCCAGGATTTGAGTCTGCGCTTTTCTGCTCACAGTACTGTACATCATTCTAACCTCTCTACACTCCGTGTTGCTTGCAATCACAGGGGCTTTTTAAAGCACAATGTGCCTGACTTAGGATGGAAGAACCGTCTTCCAGTGCTGCCTGCTGCCAGAAAGCTCTCTGGCAGCAGGCACACGAGAGGGCAGCTATTTCATCCTTCCATGCCTGAATTTCACTTCTCTGAAAGGTCAGCAGAAGTGGTAGGCAATCTTAGCTTAGCCCCAGTTTCCATTCCTAGAACACTCTGAACAAACTATCCAGTGGTTTCATATGGAGGAGGGCTAGCAGGATGGTCCTACTCTTGCCTCATCACGTGAAAGGCCCTACAGCAAGATTGAAGAACCTCAGGCCCAGAGACAAAATTCAGCCTTCCAGGCCTCTCTTTATGACCCTTAGGGCTTTCCCCAGGCCATGCACCTCACCAGTACTGTTCCACAATCCTTAAATGTTGTTGCCAGGCTGGAATACATCCCTGAACTTCTACTGTAGGGGTCAGCAAACCTTTCAACAGGGGGCAGTCCACTGTCCCTCAGACCTTGTGGGGGGGCGGACTATATTTTGCGGGGGGGGGGATGAACGAATTCCTATGCCCCACAAATAACCCAGAGATGCATTTTAAATAAAAGCACACATTCTACTCATGTAAAAACACCAGGCAGGCCCCACAAATAACCCAAAGATGCATTTTAAATAAAAGCACACATTCTACTCATGTAAAAACACCAGGCAGGCCCCACAAATAACCCAAAGATGCATTTTAAATAAAAGCACACATTCTACTCATGTAAAAACACGCTGATGCCCAGATCATCTGCAGGCCAGATTTAGAAGGCATTTGGGCTGGATCTGGCCCCCGGGGCCTTAGTTTGCCTACCCATGTTCTAATGCCTTTGGCTTCCCCAGATGAAAAATAAAGTGGCGAGCTGGAGTGTGTGCAGAACTTAGCCTTCTGTATTAAGGTAAAATTCACATTCGTTTCTCTGCCTCCTTTGGTATTTGGCCCCTGGAAGGCTACTCAAACGTGAATGCAGCTCTCAGGCGAAAATGTTTCCCTACACTTAAGTAATGTGTGAAAAGGGCTCGTGTCTTGACTGAAACCAATAAAACTGTGTGAGCACCATCAGATCCCAAAGCAGCCAAAGTAGGAGTGAACCTACTGTAGGAAAGAAGAAAGGTGTGATAGGAAGTGTGCATGTAACGTGATCATGCGGGCAGGGAAGCTCCAATAGGAACTTCTGCTTTGAAGTCTTAGTCGATGCTTCCCAAATTCACCACTGACCAATCTGCTTGTCGTCACTATTAATTGCTTGTTCTTTTTCGTGCTGACTGAGGACCAAGAAGAAAAGGGCATTGCTTGGGCAACATCGGAATTGGATTCCAAAGTGAAAAGAATGGATTAAAGAGAGGGCCCTGGCCTGTTTTCTTTCAGGGCAACTTCTTTTTATCCTCAAGACTATTTTCAATTAAGATTTTAAAGTTGAGGTGGGGGATAAATTTCCCATTGCATTATCGTTTTTAGCACTGCTGACCTTTCTAATACAAAGAGAATCCACTTGTGTATTTTTCAGTCGTCTGTGCACTTTGATTATGGCTATTTTCTACAAGCTGAGAATTACCTCTGTTTGAAACTAGCAAGAAATGTGCAAAGGGCTTGACCTCGATTTCTTAGTAGTGAAACTTCCATTATTCTACAGCTGTATCACACTATCAAAACAGTGGATCATTTTATATGTATTTAATGTGGGGTTTTGGAGGGGGGTGCTAGTTGCAATGGGTTGTGCTTCTAAAAATGTTGCTTAGTGGAAGGAATTTGAACACCTGGCCTTTCGAATATTAAGACGTTCCCGTTCTGCTTATTTTGCAAGACTGCTGACAGTATCCCATTTTTAAAAAAATAATCAGCAATGCAATTAAATCAGTGTAGATGTTTGAAAATTTTGCTCTTCCAAATCTCAAATGTCACTCAAAATCCAAAAGCCATAGTATGGAAAATTTATTCATATTATCGTACTATGTATGGTCTCAAGCAGAGACAAAGATGATTACAGGTCTACCCAGAAGTAAGTTCCACTGAGTTCAATGGGGCTTACTCCCATGTAAGTAGATACAGCTACTTATATTTATAGTTATTTAAAAGTTCATGCCCAAGGTTTCTGCAAGCCCTCATCTGACATAAAGCTGTTTTTTTTTTAAAGCTATGGAATTATTGTGACTTTTAAAAGACATTTTCTTGTGCTCTCTTTTTACATACTGTTGGGTTTAAGCAGAGCTATTTTTCAGGAAAAAGATGTGCTGGAACTCACCATGACACCTCCCTTGTTCTCTTAGAATGGCACTGGCACCCACCTGAGGGGTTCCAGAACTGAGTTCTGGTGAGTTCTGGCTGGAAAAAAAGCCCCGGGTTTAAGTCACATTAGCTTTCATGTTATCTCCACAACCAATAAGGTACTGTGCATTGCACTAAGAGCAGCATTAAATAATATACATACAGAAACACACACACATCTACATCTACACAAACACACATACAACTCCTGTATGCACTGAGGTTCAGAAAGAGCTGAGACAGGCATTTTGTTTGTGTTGCAAAGACTCAATTCAAGTGGGGACAAGCGCACAATGCTCTGCTTCCACTGCTGTGCCCACGACTCTTCACAAGTTGGAGGGCGAAGTCTGAAACAGCTATCCCTCTACTTGTGGGAAATACCCCATTTTTTGTGGGTTCTAAGTCGCACAGGGAGCCTCCACAGACAGAGGAATCTTGCCACTTCAGATTTCTCCCTCCAACTTGTGGAAAGCAGCAGAGTTATAGCAATGTGGGGGCTGGAGCTTAGTACACTCGTCTTTGCCTGCATGTACCCTTTGCACACAAACAGCAGACCTGGTTAGGGTTTTAGAAAGAGTGGCTTGTCCAAGGCCATCTGTTGAGCCCATGGCGTGGACAGACCTCTTCCCATCTCTGCCTTTTGCAACCTGGTATCACCACTCGCATTAGGACAACACATGGTTGGTGAAGAATGGCTCCCACTCCTAGCCCCCACAGGGTACCATGTGTGAATTGTGCTTGCTGCTTCCTTCACACCAATGTAACATCAAAAGCTTCTTTAAGAGGGTATCCAGGGCTTTTACTGTGTGACTTACTCACTGACACAACACAGAATACACACCCTTTTTTTTTATGCCCATGGCTGCCATTTTGTGCTGGGACCTCATTTCTTCCACACACAAAAAGCACAGAAAGTATCTAATTTGAGCAGAAACACCCCATTAAGTTAGATAGTATTTCCCCATTTATTTCCAGATGCTGCTGAGAAATACTATCTAACGTGGGGGTGGGGGAGCGTGTTTGCTTTCCAGAAGCTGTCCAGTGTTCTGCTGGGGCAGGAAACAGCTGGCCACAAGTACCTTTGATATATATTTTTTCCTTCAGAGATAAGCATTCATCCCTCAAATTCTCTAGTTCACTTATAGCAAGTTGGAATAAAGTCGGGTTAGATATGCCAAGATGTCCTTTACAGAAAAAAAGATACTGTGATCTTCCAAAGCATACTGGAAAAGAACTGAAACTGAACTTGTAATTCTGTCTAAATTGCAACAGGAATTCTTCTTACAACTTTCTTCTTTCTGTTAAGCTAGCATTCATAATGCTTTGCAGTGTATTTTGTACATTTATTTTGTAACATTTTCTTCTTTTTTGTGGGCTTACAACAAAAAACTAATGCCAATGCTTGGGATGAAGAGACTGGGCACAAAGCAGTGCACCAGAGTGCACCTTCAATATGCATTGCAAGCCACACAGCACATTTTGTGTGTGATCCAAGTTGAACGTGCCCATGAACTCTTCTGTAAAAGAAACTGTTCCATCCATATGCTCACAAAAAATTCTCCCTGGATATTCTGAACTGTTTCTTGCCAGGGCTCACCCAAACACAATTCTTGTGGTCCTAGTCTACACCTAAATAGAAACTGGCAGCATTCAGACAATCTTCCAAACCATGGTTTGGAGGATCATGACCACACAATGCATCCATGCTCTCCCTCCTATCCCTGCCCTGATCTGTTTCTCTCTCACACAGAGTTTGATTCATTACACTTGTTTTAAACAACCCTTGTCTACTGTTGCAGCTGAACCATGGTTTGGTGTTTGGGACTCAATGGCAAAGGATGGTTTGATTAAAATAGGAAATAATGCATTAAAAGCCACATACTTAATTCAGGGAAGAAGACAGTAATCATGGTTTAAGAACTGTCTGCATGCAGCCAATAACAAACCCAAGAGATAATATAAAAAAGTAAGGGAATCCTAATATGATGTAATGAATTAAATTGGTGTGTTGGATTTCAGCTGATGAGGCCTGGGTAAGAATCCTTGCTCAGTGATGCAACTCACCAGTTGATCTGAGTCCAGCCATTCTTGCTCAGCCTAGCCACAAGGCAATTCTGAGGAGAAAACAAATTAGCTTCTACAGAAGGTAGTCTGAACTCTTTGAAGGAGGGTGGAACACAAATGTAATAGGTAGGTAGACAGGCACAGACAGACAGAAAATCCATTCGGTGATGGAAGAGTATGGCCAAGCCTGAATAATGATCCTATGCTGACCCTTGGCTGCCCAGCAGCAGCTTTTGGGACCACCTATCAGACACAGAAGATGGCACTGATGAGTAGAGGAAGGGCCTGTGAAATAGCCCTAGGAGATAAGGTGGGAAAGTAGGATGAAGATGAATGAAGACTAAATAAAGTTTTTATATTATTCCCTGACAGAATGTTGCCTGCAACTTGTTTGCTAAAGCTATGCAATTGGGCTTCTGTTCCCTTTTTGTTACCTAGCACACCATCAAAAATGTATGTCAAGCTCTGCTAATATAGGAACTGCCTCCTTTTTTTATTTTGGTTTTCCACCTACCAAGGAAGCCTCTGTGTGTTTTGCCAAAGGATGGAAACAAGCCTAGGTAGCAGCTGGGCTGCCCTTTCTTTCCAGCAGGCCTTGATGTAACCTGCAACCTGCAACTTACCTATAAGAGCCTTATGTGAATTTCTATTACCTACCCTCGCACTTATCTTGCAGACTGCACAGCTTCACCAACCATCAGCTTCCACTCCACCACCCTTCTTTAGCACTGTTGAGCCCAGGGGTGGCTAAAGGCACTCTGCATCTTTAGCTCTATGAGTTGCAACCAGTGTGGCGGATGGTCAAGAATGATCTAAGCACATCTGGGAGGTCCACAGCCACCCCTCAGCTTGCCTGAAGAAGGGTTCTGGAGACCTCAAAACCTTGCGCACTATGGGCATTTTAGTTGGCATAATAAAGATACTGCCCTAATATAGATGTTGTAACTTGACATTAGTGAACATCTTGCACCCAAACTTTAGGATCCATAAAATTAAAGTATTAAATGGCAAGACATCTGACTAGAATAAAGAGCAGTATTTATGATTTAACTTAACTGCAGAGGAAATGATGTGTGAATGAGAAAATTGCAACGCAGCCGTGGATCACTTTTGACAGTTTCAATTAAAGTTTTGTTTAGTAAAGCACTTACCCATTTTAATAAACAGTCTTGCAAAATTATTAATTGATTACAGTTTCCTTGGCCATCTCAATATTTTCAAATCTCTGTATCAACAATAGCACGTAAATTCTTTGATCTGCTATGCAAATAGCAACTTTGCTATCTGGAGTTTTTGTTTTTGTTTTTTTAAAATGCTATCTGGAGTTTGTTTGCCATTGTAGTAATGTACATATCAGGAAGTTTTTAAATTAGGAGGGAAGGAAATGTAACACACATATTCTGCCCCCCCAAAAAACCCCAACCATTTCTTTTTCTAAATAAGGGGGTGGGGAATTCCAAACAAATTCAAGGCATCTTGGCAATACCATTACTGCAGAGAAAACTGTGGTAATTACAGAGAAGGAAGCTTAATAGGCTCCTACTGTGACCTAGCTGTAACTACTTTCCTCACCTGTCGATGCCCTTCCTAGGTTTACTGATAATACATGCTGAGACTAATGCAATTCTGACTCATGTAGGAAGGCTTTAAAAACCTTTCACAGTGCTGGGACCTCTTCCCTTTTAATATTAGCCAGCATGTTTCTTCAGTGGTCCACAGCGACAGACAAATGGAAGTGCAAATGTTTCCACCTCTATAGGAAGTTTCTGTTTACTTTGGAAGCTTTCTTTTCCTCTCTGTTTTACTTCCAGCATTATTAACCATTCAGTAGGCACTTCCGACAGGCTATTTAACTGATAATTGCTTTAAAAAGGAAAGGGGCTCCTTCGTTACTTCAGGTATTTTGTTTGTTTATTTTGCTTTTATCTCTAAATATGTGTGGGTTTCTGTTCTCATATTTTATTTATTGGATATATTTGTGCACCACCATAGCAAAGCTCTTTGAATAGTTTACAATAAAGAAAAAACAAAGCAAATTCTCCAGATCTCCTAACTTGATTGAGCTTCCACATATATAACCTGCCCTGTGATAAAAGTCTTCTTATCCACCTTGGGTTTTTATTTAATAGGTGACCATCTTTCAGTCTGACCAGCCTGACATTGCTGTGGTGAGAACAAAATGGAGGTCGGGGGCAACCATGCACACAGCTTTGAGCTCCTTGGAGGAAGTGTTTATTGCCCTATAAAGGTAATAAATATTCATTACAATGTTTTCTAGGTATATAAGCCCCACTCCCTGGCTTTGTATATTTCTCTTAGAATGGGAGACTAGGATTAAGTTGAATCTTAATTCAATTAAAAATAATACAGTATATTGCACAGTACAGTGGTACCTCGGGTTACATACACTTCAGGTTACAGACTCCACTAACCCAGAAATAGTACTTCAGGTTAAGAACTTTGCTTCAGGATGAGAACAGAAATCGTGCTCCGGCGACGTGGCAGCAGCAGGAGGCCCCATCAGCTAAAGTGGTGCTTCAGGTTAAGAACAGTTTCAGGTTAAGAACGGACCTCCGGAACAAATTAAGTACTTAACCCGAGGTACCACTGTACATTACAATTGCTGCAATAGGCAGAAAAATCACTACATGGTCTGCCACGACCCTCAGCAGTTTTCAAGTACTCCATGGGATGGGGGAGTTTGAGAACCACTGCCTTAGATGGGAATATGGTGAGGCGCTCTCTCTCTCTCTCTCTCTCTCTGTGTGTGTGTGTGTGTGTGTACGCACTGCACACGTATACAAACCTCTATATACTAACGATTAGAGGAACTGATAAAGGATATTTCCATATCGATGCAGACACACAATCCTGTCTCCTATATTATTCTCATGCCTACTATACAAATAGAATCCTCTCTCACACATTCACAAACACAACTGAATAGCTTGATGTGTAGGCAGTTGTGGATGAGATACAACTGCCCAACTTCCGTTGACATAGAAGCATGCAAGTTATACAAAACAGCTGAAGTTTCTCAATAGAAATTCATAACCACAGAAAACACCTGTTGCTGTAGAAAAGGACAATTTTTTGATCTATTTAGTTTAATTCCTGTCATGGAAACATACACTATAAACAAATACTGGGCTTTTATCTTTACACTGCCATACAGTGCTGCCTAGAAAATCCATTTAATTTGATGGAAGATTTTTTTTTTAATGAACTGTCAATTTTTTAAATTAAATTGTGATACAGACTATTTTCTCCCACTGAAACCACATTGGCTACATTAGTTTAAAAGTTGTAGCTTGTATCCCTCTGTAATAAAAGTAGTCTGATTTTAGCTATTGAATACTACTGGAATTATCTAGGGACTACATTTATTCCACTGGGAACAGATTTCATTCTCAACAGACACTTTTCCTATTGCACCATAAAAAGGTAACTAGGATTAGCTGAGAACAGTCAGCCCCAAGTGAACAGCTGAACTACAGTTCCCTTAGAACTAGACCAGAGATTCCAAAGGGCAAGGGATTTATTCCTCTGTGACAGCTGAAGCTAAAAATACTGTGGCATTTCTCAGCATCTGGAACCATCAAGACATTTGAAAGGAGACTGATGTCATCAGTTAGCAGACATTCTCTGCTTCAAGGAAATAATTATTAATCCTTATTAAGCATTTCTCTAGGGTTTTGTTTTTACAGACACAAAATAATTTCCACCAACAGTAACCCAGGCCTTGCAGAGTTCAGAATTCTTGCAGACAAGAATTCCATGCAAATGTTGTGCAAAATGTAGCAATGGAGGATCCTAGTGTAGTGGCCCCTTTCTGCAAGCCACTTCTGCCTATTTTCAGGGATGATGCTATTTGTTCTCTAAGCTCGAGGATGCAGACAATTATTGTGCCAGTTTTACAGGTGGGTAACTGAAGCTGCAGTCCCTTACCTGGGAGTAAATCCCATTTAACTCAGTTTGGATTGACTTTTGAGTAGACAAGGGCTGCATTGTGAGACAAGATGCCAGAAAGTCTAGGACATGGCATTTTTGGAATCAGACCTTCCAGAGCCAATTCTAATGTTGTACCTGCTGGCCACAGTGGCTCACTGCCATTATGTCACCTGCTATATAAGGTACAACTCTATCTGATACTCTTATAACGAAACTGGAAAAATAAAAGTCCCCCAACATGCCTGAGCCCAACCTATGTCTCCCACCTGTCTTCTCAAACACTTTGCTGAGGTCCATTTTCAATGGAATATTTCCACTTGAATAATCTACAGTGGTACCTCTGGTTAAGTACTGAATTTGTTCCGGAGGTCTGTTCTTAACCTGAATCTGTTCTTAACCTGAAGCACCACTTTAGCTAATGGGGCCTGCTGCTGCTGCCGTGCCGCCGGAGCACAATTTCTGTTCTCATCCTGAAGCATAGTTCTTAACCTGAAGCACTATTTCTGGGTTAGTGGAGTCTGTAACCTGAAGTGTCTGTAACCCGAGGTACCACTGTATTTTGGATAGCACTCCAAGAGCAGTCAGACTTCCTGCCCACTTTATCATGAATGTTTATAATTTATCCAGTCGTGCTATGGCTCCCATTTCCCCCTCTCCTGCTACCTCAGCTCCCTTCTGCAGGCACAAAAGGAAATTTGTCTCTGCGTTGCTAGGAATCAATGCATATCACCCATCAAGTCCCATAACTGTAACTCATATTTGGAATTTTTCAACAGGGCTTCCTGAAGTTCAAAAATAAAATGCTGCTATTGATAAATACATGTTTACCCTTTAATTTCTACCATTCAATGCAGAAGTTGGCTGAAACACTGAGTGCACTGGTAGCCAATAATTTTAAAATTGCTTTAAGATGTATCTATGTCCTTGCTTGTTTAAGCAGCTACACAATGAATCAAAATAGAACTGGTTATATCTATTCCTCAGTCGTTTATCTGCAAATAGCCACCACTGACACTGTTCAGAATGCAACTGTGTGAGTTAAAAAAACAAAAACCTTTAAAAAGCCTTATCACTACATTTGGGGTCATTCTCTGTTCAAAGCATGAATTGTAACATGCTCTGTCCCATCACAGTGAGCTAGCCTATTACTGCTGTTTCTGCTGAAAATATTTCTTCCTTAGAGATTTGACAAAACTATGTTAGTAATCCCTGAAAAGAATAGTTATGGATATTCCCCTGAATGGGTAATTCACCTGCAGGGGTGTAGTCTAAGATGTGTGCTTGCAGAATATTCTGGAGATAGGATAGAAGGACAAAAAAAGTGAAGTTTCCTGCAGGTGAAGCAACTTGGTGTGCAGGCTCTTTCCTGGAGATCTGCTCTGGGGCCACAGATCTGCTGCCTTGCCTCTTTGCCTTAATTTATGTCTTGCTTATCTATTTGCAATTAAAGAAACTATTACAAAGTTGATGTACTCTTCAGGACTCTCACGTGCAAAAGAAACATAGTGCAACCCTGGGAACTTCTCGCTGCTCGAGGAAATGGGAAGCATGTAACAAAATTTTAAAATTACCCATTTGCTGCTTACAGTTGCCATGCTGATACAGCACATTTCCTTTTGTGGGACAATATTTTGTTCCTTGCATTTATGTTACTAACAGCACAGTCTACTCAGCAGTAAGTTCCACTGAGTTCAGTGAGAATTACTCCCAGGAAAGTGGGCACAAGACTGTAGCCCTGGGGAATTTTATTCTCTCTCCTCGCTCTTCACACAAATGTGCCATTAAATATACCCAGCACAGCTATTTTTTCTCCTGATGTTACTTAAATTAGGTTCCATCCCACTGAACCAGTGACAGGGTTTTTAGTAAGGAATAGATAAGAATCAGCATCCCGGGTGCCAGAATGTCCCCTGTGCCAAAACAATTTGCAGGAGGGAAGCTCAAATTATAAACTCACATTCTAAATGCCTTTCTATAAAATTACCAAATCTATACAATTCAATTTAATTGCAATGTTTGTGGTTTCATAAAATATTTTGACTAGGAAAAGATAGAAGAGGGAATGTGTGCCAGTGTGATTATGTTCCCACACACAGAGTTCCATTTCAGCATGGAAGTGCCGAAGACCTGGCCAGTGTAATGGTCACCAACAAACAAAACTACATGGCAGGAAGGCAGGGAATGAAGGTCTATGAAGTCAGATGCAAATATGTCAGCTTGTACAAGGGAGCTTTCTTCCTACTTCAGTTTCTTGGTCACCCCACGAAGCCTGGGGGCTGCAGAGGGAGAGTGAAAGAAGCATGAACTGGTGTGAGGAGCCTTGGTGGAACTATGCATCCAACACCATCTCCATATTAGAACAGGAACTTCTGCCAGCACACAAGTCACTACATGAAAAACAGCAAGGCCATGTTGCAAAAATGTAATCAACCTTGTACCTATGCTTTCCATCTACATTGTATGTTAATTGAGAAAATGCAAAAGAAGAGAATAACACAGAAGTTTAATTCTCTGGTTTAGATCAGGGATGGGGAATTTATACTAGAATATATACTAGACTACAACTCCCATCACTAGCATCATCCTTCACCATTGGTCATGCTGGCTGGATCTGATGGGAGCTAGAGTCAAACGACTTATGGAGGGCACCAGATCATGATGGTCCTTTACCATAAAATTTCCTGTGGGGCGTTGGGGGGGAGCTACCACAAAATAAAAATACAAAATATAAAATTAATTTAAACAATTTATGTATTTTTTAAAATTTCATACAATTGATATACCACTTGATTATTTTAAAAAACCCCTCAAAGCATATTACAATCAGAAGAAAAGAGTGGGTCCTCAAATACATATATGTATTCTGTTCCATCTCTTTTCTGTGCAGTTTGTCATAGTTTCTAGTATGTATCTTTCTTCCTTTAGAGTACCCATGTACATGTACGTTATTTGAATCAAAGCACAACAACAATGGCTGCAAATTTCACAAGCATCACTATTCAAGATCTGAATCAAGGATGTGCAACTCCAATAAACTGTTCAACTTTCTTACCCAGATGCTGAATTGTTTTTATACATGTAACTCCTTTAACTGTTTTTATAAAATTGTTTATATAAATATAAATATAATAATAATAGCATAACAACAAAGAAGTGCCATATATTAAAATGGAGTACCAATAAAATACAGGTTCCCATTAAAATCAAGAACCAGAGAATTCTTATGAAATTTTGGAAAGGGGCAACAAGGACCTCTTGGATCCTCAGTAATTGTGAAGTATAATAACTGCCCTTGCAGCCTCATTCCAATACTTGCCTCACAGTGACAGGGAAGGACTCTCTACAGATACGACACCCTTTGATCAATATCTGCTTTCAGCAATTTCATCCAGAGGCCGTTCTTGTCAATATATTTACATTTTGATCTTAGGCTTACAAAGGCTGCATAAAAATTTTCTACTACTTGGTGAGGAATATTTATGAACCTCAAGCAATAACACAAAGCAAGCATCAAAGTAATTAAAAATTATCTATTCCCCAGCAAAAATATTATTTGCTTTAGCCTAGACTTCTAATTTTCTTAACAGGCACCTAGGACAGATGTGTACAGCTCTATCTATTTATTTATTTTTAAAACCAAATATTCTGGTTAATAACTCTGAGGTGTGCATTTAAATTCATATTTACTTAGCCATTTAAATAAAACTCCATTCAGGTTCTTTCCCCAATGCTGCAATATTAGTAAGTTCCACAGGTCTGCTGCATATGACTAGACCTCTGGCATTCACCCACTACCACACCCAGCTGTGCCAAGCCAGTTTGTTTCTTCACAGAGCTTTCTCTTCTACATCCTTGTAGTATAAATGCCACACTTAGTTATGCATTTGTTGGGATTAAGATAGTAAAGAATTACTGAGCAAGGTGGCAAGATCATAATCTGTGGTACAACTGTCTGGGTTTCAGCAAAGTATATCAAGAAGAAACTGAGCTGCCTGACAGTGCAAGAGAATTCACCACTGAATGTGCTCCAGATGACCTAAGCTACAAATGTTTGACACCTCTGAGCTGATTCAACAGACAGTGGTACCTCGGGTTACGAACTTAATTCGTTCCGGAGGTCCGTTCTTAACCCAAAACCATTCTTAACCTGAGGTGCACTTTCGCTAATGGGGCCTCCCACTGCCGCCACGCACGATTTCCATTCTCATCCGGGGGCAAAGTTTGTAACCCGAGGTACTACTTCTGGGTTAGCAGAGTTTGTAACCTGAGGTGTTTGTAACCCAAGATACCACTGTATATGGAGAAGAGATAAACAAATGGAAGATGAAATACTGATGCTTAAATAAGCTGATGTGCAACTATTCCCATCTATGTTGGGGAATGGCCTATTAGCTTTGCTTTACAACAAAGACCTAAATCAGGTGCCCCAAACATGGTATCCTCTAATACACACACACATACCAAGACACACACAGACACCTTGTTGTCCACCAAGGTTCTCTTGCCTTCCCAATTGTTATTTTTCTTTAATTTGAGTTTCTTTAAGCTTTTGCTGTTGTTTGGCTGCCAGCGTTGCCTGCTTTGTCTGCCTGTGTTGGGGGAGAAGGATTCATGTTTTGCCTATGGGGGGGGGGCAGTTCTGAGCTTCACTGTTTTTTCTCTGTGAAATGAACATTTTCTGGTATCCAGGGCAGATTCTTAAGCTTACCACACATGAGACCCAAAAAAAATATAAAGTCCTGGTTTTATCAGGACTAAACCTGTTCCCCCAAACATCAGCACTAGTCTATTATGGAGGGGGCAGGGGCAGTTCTGATTTGCTTCCACAGGACGACATATGGAGTTATTCTCTTAGCTAAACATGTGAACACTTACTATTTGAATAAAACTAGGCACATCACCTAACTACTACCACCTTTTCAGAATGCTGGTATAATGTAGAAACATAGGAAGCTGCTTTGTACCAAGTCAGACCATTGGTCCATTGAGCTCAATGCTGTCTGCACTGACTGGCAGCAGCTCTCTAGAGTTGTAGATGGGGGCCTTTTCTGGCCATAACTGAAGATACTGGGGACTGACGTGAGGACATTCTGTTTGCAAAGTAGGTGTTCAACAATTGAGCTAAAGCCCTTCATTGGGGCTTTGGTGCTAGATTGGGAACAAGGGAACTCAAGGCCCAGGTGCACAATCACCCATTAAGTTCACTGGACTACAATCTGAATCAATTTACTAGGGATAGTGTAAGCCACATTGCGTACAGTAAGGCTTACTTCTGAGTAAACATAGAGTTGTGCTATGAATGATCTTGGACCAGCCACTTATTCAACCTAATGTATGTTACAGGACTGTGACATAAAGAAAAGTATGCTGCTCCAGTTCCTTCAAGGAAGAGTGAGAAACACATGTGATACATGCAAATTAAACAAGTGTTCAATATAGGCCATTCCTTGCATGGTCTGATTATGTAGTTGGGAGTCAGTGGATGGAAGCAGGGTGAGAGCCTGCTGTGGTATAGAACAGAGCCCCTCTTGGGCAAGAGATGGGTGGGGAAGATGAGATGGTCCGGGAAGTGTGGGGCATGAGTCCATCACTGCTTCAGAGATTAGGAGAGTATCTTATATGTGTGTGCTTGACAGCTATCCTTTGCATGTGGGTTGCAGTATTACTGAGCATATGTGGTTTGCATATGAGTGGTTGATTGACAGAGAAAACACATGAGGTGGTGAATGACTGTAGTGGCTGTGGGAATGGATGGCGAGAGTGAGGCTGGATGAGTGGTTATATGAATAGTGTGTTTTATGTTGCCACCTTAGGAATGCTCTTCGACTTTATATTGATACTGTTATTATAGATATGGATACTGTATATGCATTTTTCATGTAAATTGTTTGATATTATTCTATGATACTTATTGCGTGCACACATAAGATATTTATTTTTATCTACTGCAAACAGCTTCAATATCTACTGGTAGTAAGAAGTCTATAAATGGAAATCAGCAACAGCAACGACAAGAAGAAGACAGAAGCAGGAACTTGCAAACTTTTCATTTTACACAATTCCACCCACAAAATGGAGGTTCACATGGATATTTACTTGTACTTGTTGCTACTTTTTGTTTGCTACTTTCATTTGGCCTTGGTTTTATTCCTTACTTTTTTGTTTTATTTTTAGTATCTGACAGTGCAAACTTACACACTTCTACTCAAAAGAAGTCCCACTGAGTCCAAAGGGACTTCTTCCCTGTTAAGGTGATACAAGACTGCAGCCTAATTCATATGCTCCTTTAAGAGAATTCTATCTCAAGGCCTAAGCAGAGTCTGATTTGAAACGTGTTACGGATTTGCCAGATACACCCATATACCCAATGGCTTCTTTCCATTATTCAGTGCCTCCAGTCAGGCGCTCTGCTAAACAGTTCCCTTTTGCTTCAGAAAGTTTATGTAAATTTAGCATAGAGCAATGACTTGTGCCTTAAGCAAAAATAAACAGTCTGACAGGCAGGACCACAAAGTTGTTCAGTGTGCCTAAGCCTGTGCATAAATGGGCCACTATATTATCATCACCAACAAGAGCCAATGCACATTCTGTAAGGGCTGACACTTAGCATTTGGACAAACACAGTCCAAAATGCGCAGGCTATTCCTGCATAAATATTAAAATTAATCTCAAAGCTGCTGTTATAAATATATTTACAAGACAGTCTCTAAAGCAGTACATTAATTGTGTCATGACCCAGTCAGTAGTGGATGAGAATCATTTTGTAGCTCCTTATGAGATATAGCCATGAGCAATACAAGTTCCTCACTGTTAAAGTAGTTGCTCATTTCCGAACTCACATCTGCCTTATGAATCCTATGAACTCAGGCCCTGGCAGACTGATTCTCAGGAGTCTCACTTACTGCAAACAAAATAACATGCACTGCCATGTGCACCTCAAAGTATCAGTGAAAGAAACTGCAGAGTTAATGAGCAGGTATTCTCTGCCATCAGCTTGACCTTGCCCAGAAAACAGGGGAGACAACTGCAATATTTGGATTTTGAGATAAAGAGAACTGCCAGAGCGACATACTTGTTTTACAACATCAGAATCACAAAGACAGTGTAGTAAAAATGCCTGGAATTGGTGAGAGAGAGTGTAAGAACTGGCAACATTATTTATTCCACTTACATTTTGATTAAGCTGTAATACACAAAAACAGGAAACATGAATTAGGAGCCACAGCTATTAGGATGGTATGCTGAAAGAGAGACAGAGAGATTCATTATGCTACTCTAGCTCTGCCCAGAGTTTGTTGGCTGTACCTTAAAATGCTGAGTTAGGTCATTAATCTAAAAAGGAAAGGGAAATAAAAATGGTGAGCAGAATTGCTAATTACAGCATGTAACTATTCAAAATTCAAGCACCACAGATTGGAAATACAAGCATGGAGTGATTACCAAATACATACTATTACCCTTCTCTGCTCTGGCTGATTTATGAGGCGTGCATTGCTGCATGCATGAAAGTTTGGGTGTCTTAAGGAAGCCTTCTCCTGCAGAGCACTGGCTGCGGGGAGCTGGCTTGTCCGCACTCAAGGCAGATGGTATCATCAAAGCAGCACAGCTGTACTGTAAGTAAATCTTATGTTCAGTGAATTACTGCCTCTGCTAATGGGAGTAATTCTGCGTCCGAAATGGAAACAGAGGGTGAAGGAAAGAAAAATGTACGCGGGAAAACAATAGGGAGGATAATGGGATGCCTGTGAACAAGCGTTACTTGGCAAACGAACAGTGGCGTGACATGGCATTACCGGCACTAAAGTGGGGAGGCCTAATTCAGCCATTAAACTACCCAGCCATCCAGCATTAAGCAGCTCTTTCAAAACAGACTCCCAGTAACATTTAAAAGGAAGGCTGCGTCCCACTCATACCTGTCATCTAAGAAGGCAGTTAGGGAATCATTGGCCTTGACATAGAAAACTACCATCCTGGAAGGTACTTTCAATCACGTCCATTATTCTTGTTAATACTGCATTGATCAGTTGGAGTAGAAAAGTATATATGGAAGGCTGCAAATGTGACTATTAGCAGAACAATTCAAAATTGCTGTTTGTATGACTAAGTGAGGCTGCCATGGATACAGACTAAATTGCTTCAAAATCAGGAATATTCATACAATAAGATAAGACAAACATTTCTTTTTACACCATTCACAGTGCAGAATACAAACTAGTTTGCGTGCCACGTCCTTTAAAAGCCTCATACCAAGTTTTAAATGTACACATTACTATGTGCATTTTCCCAAAACAGACTTTAAAAGAGGCAAACAAATAAATATGTCAGATCCAGGCAGGGCTGGCTCAAGATTTTTTTGTTGTCTGAGACAAAGGACAAGATGGTGTCCTCTCCCCATTCCATGGCTGAACTGGCAGCTGACTCTTACTTTAACATTGGCAAAGGGATAGCATTGTCCTCTGCACATGATCTCAGCAGCCTAGTCTGGGAGATACACGACATATACAGCATATACAGTTCTGCTCTCCAAAACAAATAGCCAGGGAGCTCAGGAGGCATAATGGGGGAAGATTGTTGCCACGGCTGCACCTGCCACCTGAGGCAAGTGACTCATTCTGCCTAATGGTAGGGACAGCCTTGGTCTAGGTTGTCATTGAGACAGAAGCCAAATTTGGACAGATTGATGTTTCTAATGCAAACATAAATATACTGAAGGGATTCTATATTTTGGAGTAGTATAAAATATGCTATTTACTTCAACTTGTGTGGAAGAGGATTAAACTCCCAAAATTGGTTGTGTCTGATATAATTTCAACCTCCAGAGCCTCAACAGCTTCTCCACATCACTTCATGCTTAATAAACAGATATGTCTTCTGTCACTCAAGAGATTAGAATGGAGACTGTCACATTTACAAAGGAAGCATCACTCCCCAGAATAAACTGATTAAAACTAGAGCTTATGCCTCCATATTTAAGTTGGGCTAAAACTTCACTTCTGGTGCAAAAAAAAAGTATTATAAAACCAACACATCCCATATATCTGCTGCTGCTGCCACCCACCCATTTTGCTAAAACCCCATTTGAAGGAGTAGTTTTCATGGTGGTGAAAAGGAGAAAGAAGGGCTGAGTGAGCGAGGAAGCAAGTGGCAAGTATTCTGCTGCTCCTGTCAGCTGGTTCCCTTGACCCTATGAAAGGATTCCTCATGAGCAATAGCCTGAGACACGAAGAAGATATGGTTGAACAGTCACGTATAAAAATCAGAGGGGGATGCAGGGGTGCGAGGACAGATGTTGCCTGGTTAGAGGCAGATGTCGTGGTAAGAATAATTTCATTTCCTCTTGCAAAGAACTAAAGGGCCCCAAGGCTACCTGCTTCCAGTTCCTCACAGGCCTCTGACACCTGCCTACATTAGTGGTACATAGTAATCTCCACCCTGGGGAATTACTCTGGGCTTGAAGATATTGATGATATTAGTTTATGTACAGCACAGGACAACTACACCTTCAGCAACAGAACTTCTAGATCCAGACTGCCTGCCTGCTCATTTAAGGGGGAATGCAACTCCATCCAAGGTGGGCAACTGACCAATTTATCAAAACCAGAGCCCACTCACGCACAGTGTCTGTCCCTGGGTTTGAATCCTTCTTGCCAGGCTTCAAACTCATCTTATTTTCCCTCATCCAAAACAAAATGAACTTTGTGCACAGATTAGAATTCCACCTGAACATATAAAACGACTCGGAGGAATTCAAGCACAGAAACTGCACCATGTTTATTTCAACCCAGCCATGCTGGAATGCGGCAAAAGGATAGGCACTACATTTTATGATTATCGTTAAATCTTTATGGACATTTTACCAAGCTGCTGCTGCTTACTCAGAGTATAGCAGTCAGCTCTCTGCACTATGATCTGTCAACCATGCGTGTAGGAAGCAAATTTCTCCAAATCAACATATGTTCCCAGGAAGAAGCGTCAGCACAAGATCCTGCTGGTAGGTGGGGAGAAGCAGAATGCAACTGACATTGCTTGTCCGGTGAACTTTACTGCAACAGACTCAGGGCAAACCATGATTTCAATCAGAATTGCTAAATAAATTAGTAGGCAGCAGGATGCTTGTTAATTCCCGTCCATATGCCAAGAGCCAGATCCAAGGTCCATTAAAAGCTGTAGGAGTATTTCAGCAGATTTCAATGAGAATTTGATTATTCTCACTGAAAGCAAGAATAAGAATAAGAATAATCAGCTGCTAGCCAGATCTGTACAGGAAGGGTTTGCTGCATAACTGTGTATCTCGTAATTGAGGAATGTATTGTGCAATGCCATCTCAGTGGATCTCAAGGGATGCTATTGTCTCACATGGCATTTTGTTGTCTCTACCACAAACACTGCCTGAAGAACTCAGTTTTATTTGCCTAGTGACATTCTTCCCAATAAAAGGTTCTGCATAAAATGACCCTTCAGTTCTCAGTGAGTGCACTGGAGAATAAGAATGCAAATTGCTAAAGTGAAATTGAAAGTGGCAGGATACCATAACTACTAAGTTAATTGCACTTATATTAGAATTTATATGGATGCACATTAGAATGATTAATGCAGCTAGTCTTCTGTGTTTCATAGCCAAACTTTCTTATATACAGCAAGAGATAATGTGTCTACTAAACTCCTATATGTTGATCTCTAGGAATTTGCAAAAGTGTCATGTAGTTGCAGTTACCAGGAGATAGGATGGTCACTTCAGATTAAATATGTGGCTGACCTGCAAAATAAACCTACACATGTCTATTCAGTAGTACCGTAAGTCCCACTGAACTCAGTGGGATATATGCTACTTATATGTGAACAGGACTGCAGTCCTAAAGCAACTGTGCAAGTCAAAATTCATCTTAGAAACTTCTAAGTATGATATTTGTTGCAGCATCCAGAGCCCTCACCTGATCTTAAACCCAGACTCAACAATCAGTGATAGCACATTTACCTAAGATGCATCTCATTCTTCAGTATGCACACACAACCCTCCCTCTCCACATGCCCTGCACACTCCCCTTATCAGCACTGGAGGGCTGGAGCAACCCATAGAACAGATTTGTGGGGCAAGGAGCAATGACATGGGGGGAAGTTCCATTGTGCAGAAATCTTTGTGCTATCACAACTACTTATTTCACTTTACAGTGATACCTTGGACGTCGAACGCCTTGTGACTCAAAAGTTTTGGCTCCTGAATGCCACAAACCCGGAAGTGAGTGTTCCAGTTTGTGAACGTTCTTTGGAACCCGAATGCCCGATGCGGCTTCCGTGGCTTCCAACTGAGTGCAGGAGCTTCCTGCAGCCAATTGGAATCTGCGCCTTGGTCAAATGGACTTCCAAGGTACGACTGTACACTGGATACGACCCAAAATTATCCTTTTGAGACTGGACCTCTCCTCTGCAGCACTGAGCTACTTGGAAATGAGAGTACCTCAAAAAATTTGCACACCACTGCATCCAGTCCTGGGCCAGAGACTGTGACTTCAAGCCCCCTGGAGGGGAAGGGCTTCAAGGACTTTGCCTGTTTCAGATTTTAAAAGCAGTTATATATGTGAATTGCATAGCCTGATGTAAAAGAATTATTGCACATTAATAAGAGTTATATATAAGAGGTTTGTTCAGCAGAAGCAATTTGCTGCTGAAATGTCTTCTTCTATGAAACTACTGATGGTTCAACTGCCTTGCTCTCTTTTGTATTTGGCCAACCTGTATGTACAGCTGTCAAGGCCAGTCCACCCTTGAGGTGGGATTAGGCAGCCGCCTTTGGTGGCAGAACACCAAGAGGCAGCGCCCTAGGGCTGGCAGAGAATTGGCGGTAGTGGCAGCTTCTGGTGAAATCTTCCAAGATCTTGCAAAAAAATTGTGAGATCTTGTGTGCTCTATGACACATTGCAGGAGCTTCACGAAATCTCATGCTATCCCACCAGAATGCACCGTCAAGTTTTGGGAGGGGCAAGTTGGGTCAGCACCTTTCTGCCTTAGGCTTCTCTGACACCTGTATACATTACTGGTTGCAGAGTAATCTCCACGCTGGGCAATTTGGAGTTGTCTTGTGCTGTACTTTACTTTTTTAAAACAAGAAGTAAGATTTGTGATGCATATCCCTTCTTCGGCCTGATTCATATATATATATATTGCACTGCATCAGCCTCATAGTTATGGTCATTTCCCCTTTAACACAAATTACAATCCGTGGAAAACAAGCACAAACCATAGTTTGCCTGTTCTGATTAATGGTTTGCACTAAACAGCAGGGAACAAATTTATATCTGAGAGCACAGGGAAGGATGGGGTGTGCAAGCACAAGGACCAGTGCTTTCCCCCCCTTAAAAAGTGTTTAGGGGTACTCTCATTTTGACTCAAGAAAATCACCATGTTATAGTTGGGAAAAATAAATACAGTAAATGGACAAAAGTACAAAGCTTCACAAAATGTTTAGGGGTATGCGTACTCCTGCGTCCCCCCCCCCCCCCCGGAAAAAAGCACTGACAAGGACCATTCATGCAGTACCAAATTATGGCTTGTTGTTACATCTGAACTGTGCTTCTCACTTCAGCAAAAGTGGACACTTGAAAACAATCGATTATTTTAAAGAAGCAAGTGTTGGCTGAAAGTCTGCAACACTCAATTACAGCGGCTATCCTAGACATACTCTCTCTAGTTGAAGGAAAACCTTGCCAAATCCCCTTCAGTCCGCTCCTTCCAAAAGAGCCAATAATATATCCACTTTCACATTTGGCATAAAAGCATTAATTGCCTGATGAATATTGCAGAACAGGAGAAATAACTGCTTGCGGGGTGGTCTTAAATGAAACTGGAATGTTTTCCTTCAGATGCAGCATCGACAGCTGTTGTTGCTCTGTCTGGGTGAACATCCATTTCAGAATTCTCAGATCCTTGACAAAAACACCATCACAGGAGAAATTAACATCTCTTCCACCACAGCTTAATTTTCTGAATAACAACAACAAAAAACAACCACCCCCAAAATGCACAGCTGGCTGTAAAGATAGACAATTCTATAAATGCCTTCTACAATGTGCTTGAAATGAACTTTCCCCCCTTTTTGCTTTGTATAAACTATTTTGCTTTGAAAGAACATTATGACCTATTGGGGCAAACATGCTAGAAGCATTTCAGTAACTACATAAACATTACATTCACCAAATTTAGCAGCTCATCTGGCTTCTACAGTGTGAGAACGCAAAGGTACATTCTGTCATCTGTTCCTCTGCACTTGCGTTGTACTTTGCATTAAACAGAAGTACACATTTTATTCTGCCCATGATTTAGCAAACACTTTATATAATCATCAGTGTATGTGTGGCTAAATGTGTTTAAACATTTGCAAGACAGAGCCTTGTTACTTGTCACAGCATAGGGCAATTATGTGGAATATAATCTTATAGAATGGTTTTTGCTTGAAGGAATGATGCTATGTCTGTTGTCGCACTAGTAATAATAACACTTAACATTTGTACAGCACTTTTATTATCTTCCATGCTGTTGAAGGGGAGCTGAGGCTAAGAGAGAATGGCTTCCCTAGGGCCACCTAGGAGTTCCTAGCAGAGTTGAGAGTCACACTGAGAACATTCTGATTCACAGCTCAGTTTCTCAGACTACAAAAGCTCTAGTTCTGTGATTTGGGAACATGCAGGCACAAGCACACATACACAACCCTATAGTGACATACTTCAAATAATGTCCCTGCATCCTCATATGTCAGATCATCACAGATCCATAGGAGAACCACCTTTGTGACAGATTCTTTTTAGCACCATCCCTGACATAGCTCTATATGCTGTTTTTCATCTAAGCACTTCATGTTTGAGGCCTTTTCTTTTCTTTTTTAGGTCCACATGGGATAGTCCACAAAACGGCTTTTCACCTTTCCTGCCGCTCCCATGCAGGAAGTGTCCTTAAAGAAAAGAGCTGGTTGGACGGGCTCCAGTGTTTCTCAGGAATTCTAACAGAACAACAGCAACTCTGGTGCATGTGTGCTGTCATCTAGACCAGAGGGTATCTCAGGCTTTGTTCTAAACCTAGCTATGTTTGAAAAATAAAAGTATTCTGGTTACATTTGATAGGATAGCCTAACTCAAGATGGCTATATATGTATTAGCAGAGGCGGAGCTAGCTGCTCCAGCTATGTACCCAGGGGTGGGGCTAGCCACCCGCAGGAGCAGGGTGAGCATCCCAGGGGGGCGGTGCCCACAACAAGCGCCCCAGGGGATGACACCCAGGGCAAACTGCAGCCACCGCACCCCCCTTCCTCCACCAGTGGGTATTAGAAGTCAAACTGGGATCTGCAAAAGCATTTGAAGGCTTTAAAAACCCTCAAGTTTCAAAAGAATTCTCTAAGAGATGGAATTCACTCTACTGCCTACGACCCAGCCTCCAAAGGGACGTGAAACTCATCTTGGGTCAAAAGCTGCCAGCCATTTCTTTAAAATTAATGAATTCTGTTCTCAATCATGATGTTACTGTTTTATGGAACTGTTCAGATGTTCTGTACATGGATCTTGGAACCCAGTTGGCCAAGAGGAGGTCATATAAACTTATGATTATTAAACTGGAATGACTATACATTTGACGTCCTTAAAACCCAATGCAAAGTTGTGTCTGCTGTTCTAAAATGCAAAGCTGCCAGAATACAATAGAATTCTGAAACTGGGTATTATAGAGGAGTGGCTAATTGGGCTACAATTCTCATAATTCCTATTATTCTGGTCAGGTCTGAAAGAAGACAAGATATATGGGTTGACATCCACTGGAAACATTATCTATCCACAACCTCTTACTAGAATTCCTCTCTCTTGATTACATATTTTCTTCAAACTGGACCTTTCCCCCTTTTGTTTTTCATTATCATATAAACAGTGACAGATTTCCTCTCCTCTTTAGTTTCCTGATGTTTCCTAAAATGTCATGTTTATAAATGCAGCAGCAGAAGTACATTAATTCCTGCTGCCTGCCCCTCAAAATGCAGGGCTGCCCTTTAAATGTGGATTTTACCTTCCCTGCTGCCGAACATAATGATCTCTATGGAGCTTCTTCATATCGATGTATATTCTGCATCCAGTCACCTAACCTCTCCTCTTGGAAGCTTGTGGCAAACTCGTGGCATCATCAATTAGGGATAATAGGACTTATAAGCCTTTAATGAATTGTGTTTCTAAAAAATATGGCAAGATTGCTAAAGCAGCATTCTACAAGGCTGAGGTGGCATATGGGCTGGCTAATTGAAAGATGCCTTGTGCTTCCCACATACAAACTGTCAGTAAGAGCTTGGAAAACAGAGGCCATTCTCTTCTTCACTCCCCCAGGAGTAGCACAGAGTAGCTGCCACTAACAACAGAATATAAAGTCAAAGTTGACCTAAACCACATTCTGTTTCATTGACACTTTAGAATTATCAGCATCCAAACTTTAAATACCCTAATTTCCTGATTGTCTAAATCAAGAGTGGCTAATCTGTGACCCTCCAGGTGTCCCTACCAGCCCCCATCAGCATGGCCAATGGTTAGGAGTGATGGGAGTTGTACTCAACACCAGAAATGCCCAAGGATATGGATGCAACTCAATCTCAGACATACTGTGTATCCAACTCCTTGATGCTCTTTGGTCTTAGGGGCTAAGTTAAGGTGAAATGTACAAATAAAATGATGTATGGACATATTGGGCATAATAAGCCAACCAGCAAATGATATGAGTAGGAACCTGCACTGATAACTTATGCAAACTAAGCTATTCAGTTCGACCACCTCTGGGGTTTTTTGAGGCAGCAAAGGTAAGAATCTTAATTTTCAAAGTTTGCTTGGATTGAGATTACATCCTCCAAGAAAGAGAGATTTAACCTAAATGGGAAAATCAACACATTCCAGTCAATAAGATGTGTATATCCCCTCTTAGTTTCAAGGATCATGATTGAAAAGGCTTCTGCATGGGAATTCTGCCATTTTTTCCTTCCAGCTGCAGCCAGTTACAGTGAATTGGGTTGCTTTCTGAAGGTTCTTCCCATTCTCAAATGCTACTTTTCCAGGATATACAATAATCTATGGTGGAATCAAAGAACTGGAAACCTCCTGAGGTCATGAATAGCTCCCAATCGTGTTCCCAAAGTCACTCTTCTCAAAGTTGGAGGTGGGCATCCATCAACTGACAGTCAGAGGAGGCATATAACCCAGTTACGTGAATAACTGCCTCTTCCCATATCAGGTGTCCTGCATCTGTGATCTGCTGAAGCTTTTCTCCAAGTGCCTACCTTATCAGAAGCCTGCTATGTACCAATAAAGGAGAGGGCTTTTTCATTGGTGGTGCACTGGTCTTAGAAGACCTTGCTTAAAGACCTTCATCTGGTGCCTACATTAGTATTTCAACTGCTCCCTAATATTGTTAATGCTTTAGGTTTTATTTTATATTTCAGTGTTTTATGTTGTTCACCACCCAGGAATTCATTGGATGAAGAGCAAAATACAGTAAAAACAAAACAAAACCCATTCCTTTCCCACTTAATAGTGGAAACAAGACTATTCTAGCCCTTGGGCAAGAATAAACTTGTTAACTCACCGTTCCAGCCCAGTTCAGACACTTATGTGACCATATTTGCATGGTGAAGGGCACACTCCCCCAGCCTCTCCACCATGCAGATAATGTCATGTATGATATTCACTTTCTGCATGGATGCAAGAACACCAATTTGTATAATTTTCCCAAGAAGAAAAAGTAGGTAATCAAGTGAATCAGGAACCTACTTGGTTATTTCAAGAATTCAAACAAAAATTGCCTGTATTGCAGTAATGTTGTATATCCTTAGAAATGCTTGGTTTATAACAAACAGGTCACTTTAAGCCCTAAACATTCTAGAACAAACTGCTGGTTTTAATGTGCAGTGTATTTTGTGAACTCATCAGAATTAACAATAACAATAATAATAATCTCAAGAGGCCTTTTTGTTTTTATCAGCCTAGCTGCCTTCAGGGTATAAATCTCAATTAGTCTCTTAGGTTTTATAGCATCTTCCGTGCCACACATCCAAGGGCATTTATTGTCAGAATGAGCCACAGCACAGCACCCACTAAAAAGTGATACACTCAGAGCTGTTAGTCCATAAAATTCAGCATATTTTGAGTGATGACCCATTTGAGCAAATCACCTTCAGGTGACAGTGAAGCAACCTCATGAGAGTAGTCACCTAAATGTGACTACAGCATCAGTAAACAGAAAGATAGCTTTAAGTGACACAAAAATAGCCAACAATGCCAGTGCAGTTATTGAATTGAATGGAGAGGCTGTTGAAAAGGCCCTGAAGGACCAGACAAACAATCATAAATGCCGCCCATTAGTTCCTTTCTCCAACTTAGGTGCTGCTGCCAGAGCCTTCTTCTGTTACGCGGGATGCCTTGCCCTTCACGGGAGGTAGCTGAGAGCAAACCTGATGCCAACTGGCACCCATCCCACCTCCAGCATTTAGGACATAGTGATACCTGTGCTGGCAAACACAAACCTCACCTAGCCAAGCCACTATTGTACCTGTTTCCTCGTCTTGAGAATCTAGCTCTGCCCAACCCATCATTCAAAAAGAAGATGCCAACAGCACGTCACTTGTTGGTTCAACATCTTTGCTCACTCTTGTCCATGCCTTTGGCCTCTCAAGTAACTGCTGATCCTTGCAGCCTATGACACATAAATGCCATTCTAATTTGAGTTCTACTTCCTAAGTGGGTAGGGAGGACTAGGACAGTCAAGGGCCACATTCCCTCAGAGTTAACCTGTCAGGGGCCACATACCAGTGGTGGGCAGGCCTTGCCACCTGCACAAATCAGGCCAAGGACCACATGCTGCCCTAATGCCACAAGTTACCTAACTATGTGGTGCCTAAACCATAGTTAGGATTGGCCGCAAACCAGGATGTGAAACCATAGCTTAGGGTGGGTTTGAGAATCATGATATGTGATAAGCATCACATTGCCACTAAGCAAACAATAGTAAAGCTCATTATATTACTTCATCTTTCAACTTCCAAGGAAGCAGTGCCAACATATGCATGCCCTCCAAGCACTGTTTAGAATCCTGAACGGGTTTGAGGCAATAAACCATAATTAGCACTAACTTCCAGGATATCATCACCATGTCAACTCTGAATATCCCGTTCTAACCAACAGCTAGGTCAGAATCAGCTGATAAACAGTATCAACGTTACACACACTTCTAACATCACACCTTGGAAACAACCCTAAGTTTCAAATCAGTTGACTTAACGTTGCTTCATCAGCAAATTAGAATAGTCACCAGAAATAAGTAAGCAAGAGAACCACGGACATGCACAACTCCTGACTATCAAGCAATGCCCAGCACCAGCTGATTATACTAGCAGCCCATACTGGCCAGTCAGTAACCAAATGATGCTCACCCAGCCACCCTTTCTTCTTCTCTGTAACTTCCACCATAGGGGCATAGGACCACTCACTTACCACTAAGCAGCAGTGTCCACTTATTACCTTCTAGCTCACTTGGTACTACTAAGCCTCCCAAAGCTTTGTCCAGGAGAGCCCACAATCCACTGTATCTATAAATGTATATATGTGTGTATGATGTGGGTATCATGGGTGTTGGGTGCATATGCTTGCAGGTTTGGTAGGACGTGCTTCAGAGCCTCATACAAGCAGGTCTTCTTCATTCTCTCCTACATACAATATCACCCCTACATGTGCATGGATGTATTTTATTAGGTGCAGTGGGCATTTTCCTCCCCAATAACATAGAGGAAATACCTGCAAAAGGAAGTGTGATGCATGCAGTGGAGCTATTACACAGCAGGCACTCTCTGTAACTATTGCCACTTATCACTATTCTAATGTTACCTAAGGACTAAATGGAAACTAACTGCAAACTACTCTGGCCTCCTTCAGGGGCGACTTAACCACAGAGCATTAAACCTTAAGCTGTAACATGTGAACAAACTACACTGCTGTAAAACTGCAATTACAGCCAGGCTTGCACCAAAGCTGCAAGCAAAGTTAAATTAACTGTAATTAAATCACTTGGGGCTTTAATTAAATGAGCCCTATCACAATTGGAGAGAGATTCATCCAATTCTCCACTCTCTCCTGCTCTAAGGAGGTAGGTTAGCCAGTTCAAAGGAAACCTCGCCCTCGCCTTTCAGCAGAATGGGTCTAAAAGGAAACACCAGGGAACAAGGCACTGTCAGGCAACCAGCTACTTTTCCATGAAGCATCACTGCATTGCCAGTTACTGCAATTGGCCAGTTTTTCTCTATTACAAAAGCTACTGTGTGTCACTGAGTTATCTGAACCTACTGGACAGGGACAGGGTGAATACAAAATGTCTACCTTATGGAGGTCTTTAAAAAAATAAAATGGATATTTTAAAGCATTTTACTGTATTGACTTGAAGAAATTCGATATTTCTAGGAGACAAATTTAGGAAATGAGCAACAAAATTGAATTGAGAGTCTCTGTTAAAACAAATGCATATGAGGTGAGGTAAATCAAATTTCATGAGGGAATGAAGCAGGGGTGTGTGTTTGTTACTCTACATTTTTGTTTGCATTACCAATGGAGGT